TGGTGGCCGGGAGCGGCCACTGCACTCCAGTCTGGGTGACAAGTGAGACTCCAACTCAAAAAATAAAAAATAAAATAAAACTCTTACCTGAGAGCCATCAGGGAGCTTCGATCTTAACCCCAAGCAGTTGGTTGACTCTCCTTGCTTGGCGCCCTGCAGTGCGTCTCACCTTCTTTCACTGTTATTTCAATGTCAGTGCCTGAACTTCCTATGCCGGATGAGAGAATCAAGTTTGGTTCGATAACACCCTATAGGTGGCTCAATAAACCTTGACGATTGAGCCTTATGCCTCAGTTACTCGTTTTGCTTGTCAAAGATTGGAAAGGGTCAGGGGAGCAGATTCTCCAATCCAGAGAAAACTGAAGAATTTCCCATTCTGCCTATGGGCCCAGGTGAGGGAGTGTCACCCTGACTCCTCCTCCCTCTGATGGCCTCTCTGGGACTTTTTGGGATGGCTGCAGACTCTGGAATGGACTCAGAAACACCTGCCTGCCCAGGAAAGGGCCCTATTGCTCTTAGAATGAACAGGAGAGAAGCAGTATGTGTGGAGACTGGGAAGTGTCTCTGCACATGGCCCTTGAGGATTCATGGTTGAAGGAGAGTCTGGTCACTGAAAAGTTTCTGGATATGTGACCAGGCAAGGGGTTGCTGAAGGCCATGGACCCAGTACCCAGGGTTGGAGAAAGGGCATCTTCAGGGTATGAGGTTGTAAATACTGTTTCACCTGCTTTGTGTAAGTCATTCCATCCCCCCCCCAACATCTCTGGGAGTTTCCTTCCTGTGGGTTTCACATCCCCATTCCTTTCTTACCCCCTACTTTATCTCTTAAGTCAGACACCCTTTATGACCCTGTCCTCCTATCTGTAAGGAACCTACTATAGCAGAAGGGGCCATATCTTGTCCACTCTTTGACTGTTTCCATTTGGTGGACATCTGGTTTTCTGAAAAACAACCCAGGGACATATGATGTGAATTTGAGTGTCTACAAGAAACCAAATATCTCGTGAATCTAACGTCCTTGGCTATTGCTTTAAATAACTATGTCCTTTGTGCTCCTCAAGTGGCTGACTTACTTCTCAGGGCTAGCCAGGTTCCTGAAGTTTCTCTTGAAGAAACTCAAAATTTGTCCTTATTTTGATGCTGGGAGGAGGAGCTAGCTGCAGGTCACTGGGTGGGGGGGGAGCTTCTTGCTCAGAGTCAAGGACGTGTTCAAGAAAATTAAGAGCCACAGATACTTCTGTGTCTGTTTTTCCAAGGAGGTTTTAGGAGATTTAGTATTTATACTTTTCTTGAAAGTGGGGGAAGGCATGTAGGAAGAGGGGCAGGTAGGCGGTAAGGCTGATGGTACGTTCCTGTGAGACTTTACTTAGTGCCAAGTGAATCTACATTTTTGAGAGGATAAGATGAATGTCGGAAGAGAAAATGGGAGGAAAGGAAGAGTCAATCATGCAGACATCTCTGGATAGGTGAAAGAATGAGTCCTGCCTTTGTTTTGCACCTGGGATAATAAGCTTGTAATTGATAATATCAAGTGTGGAATCAAACAGACGTGTTATAGGAGCTAGACTTAGGCTGTAGACTTAAAGATGCAGTTGGCATGTCCTTGTCTTGGGAAGTCGGCAAGAACTGACTTATAAGTGATCCGTGGGCAGCCCTGGGTAGGTGTCTGGGGCCCTTTCCCTTTCCCTGGGGATCTGGCTGTGTGCAACGTTAGAAACAACTATTCATAAGAGAGTGTTGAATGACTCGCCCTCCAGTCCTGAGATTTTTTTCTTTTCCTTTACACCTTCCGCTGAGACTTCTGCATAAGACCCGGCGACAGTGACAACCCCGTGCACTCCCAGGGAAGCAGAGCTTGGTCAGACTCCAGGGACGCACTTGCGAATTCCCGCACATTCTGGTGGATGCGCGCCCCCTGGTGGCGCCCTTCCTGCTCTCCAAGGGAACACCTGCTGGGATCAGCTCAGCCACCTGGTAACCCCTGGGTTAGCCTATCTCCACTCACTATTCTTTCTCCATCCAGCACGGATGTTACAAAGAAGGTTGGGTTTAGACAAGAAAAAGCAGAGGTGGAAAAGACAGAAACGGGTTCATTGTGCAACCTGCTTCCAGCCCCATGGGCATTCAGCCCTACTATGCCTGGGGTGGAGTGGGTCCCAGAAAGGAAGGACTAGCCACACCCTGCAACCTCCAGAGATCAGGAATGGGAGATGAGGAGACTTGAGGTTGGGACTTAATGACCCTGTGCTCCTCGGGAGGACCAGGACAGCTAAGAGAAGGAGTGAAGGCAGTCTCTAAAGCTCCTATGGGTTCTGTGGGATTGGACTCCAGGCCCTGCACAGGGCTATAGGTCTGGACCAGGCTTCCTTGCTGAGGAGAGAAGCCTGGAAGGAAGACATAGCGAGGGCTTTACCAAAGGTCTAGGGGAGAGGTGTAGACTGGCTTGCATTCATTTTTTATGGGCGTTACCGTTCTGTGGTGGCAAATTTGGCCCCCTTGGACTCACAGATCATGATGAGGAGGGTAGATCTGGCCTTAGATGCCACTCTACACCCAGAGGAGGTCAGCATGGAAGGCCAGGGGCTTGTATCCCCACAGCCATCTCACACTTGGGAGAGGATTCCTGAAGGAGAATCAATCCTCCTGAACACCTATCCCAGTGGGACATAAATTGAGTCGGCAATTTTTGTGCAAGTGTGGTGGCTCATGTCTGTGATTTTAGCACATTTTGAGACCAGGGCTGGAGGGTTGCTTGAGACCAGGAATTCCAGACAACCTGGGCAACAGCCTGGGCTACACTGTCTCTACAAAAAAATTAAAAATTAGTAGAGCATGGTGGCCCACACCTGTAGTCCCAGCTACTCAGGAGGCTGAAGTAGGAGAATCACTTAGGTTCTAGACTTCAAGATTGCAGTGATCCATGACTGAGCCACTGCACTCCATCCTGGGCAATAGAGTGAGACCCTGTCACAAAAATGAAAAATAAGAGATAAAACGATGATTTTATTTTATTTTATTTCATTTTAGTTTGTTTTCTGTGTCTGTGTGTGTGTTTGTGTGCACACACTTAGGATGTTGTGAAAGTCTGACAGGTTCAATTGCATATGAAACTCTCGCTTTGCACACAGGTGGGGCAACACGGGTGGACACGCAGTGTCCTGACGTTAGAGGATGCATGGAATTGCAGCTCTTAGAGGCCCCTTCCTGGTCATCTTTGTACCTTCCTGGTCATCTTTTACATGCCTGACACTAACTCACTCCGTGTTTTCCACGAATCTGACCTCTCTTTCTGTTTGTACAATGAATGATTTGTTCAACAACACAAATTTCCCTAAAGAATTCATACCTGCACTTTTTATGCTGATGAAAGAAAACCAAGGTACCTGGAGAGGTGCCTCCCAAATATGCTTTGTTCTGAATCCTGGAATCCACATCAGTCTGCTAATGTGTTCTCTGTTGAGTGCATATACTTACACCATCATCAGAAAACTGAAGAAATGGAGAGCCGTGGCTTCAGGAAGCGCTGGGAATTTCTGTCCAGTGCCTTTGTTGAGCAGCCGCCCAACAAGGTCAACAGAAAATGAAAGATGATTTCAGAAGTGACAGTCACTCCTGAGGGATGATACAAGAGGGAAGTACAATGTCTCTAAAGTGAGGGCCGGGAACTGAGAGCCACAGAGAGGGACCTGGTAAGACGAGGGTGGTGTCAGTGTCCCCAGGGAAGGCATCTGGGCATCTGGCCTAACAATCTTTTATTGAGGCCTCCTTGCTTGCATGTCCTACTGTCTATTCTCATGATCCCAGGCTACTTAATAAGCCATGAAAAGAAAATGATAGCTCTCACCTGTGTGGCCAGAGGAGCTGAGAGAAGGCCAGGATAGTCCAACTCCCATCTTCAAGCCTCTCCCCAGCTCACCTCTTTCACCCTTGCCCTTCATGAAGGCACCTGGCTCCTCTTCCTATGGGTCCACACCCTGACATTCCCTAAGGCCACCTAAAGGCATCTTCGGGAGGTCTTTATTTCTCACTCGCAGCAGCTCGGCAGTTTCCTTCCTGTGAGTCCTTGCCCCCATTTCTTTCGTTCCCCTTTCTTTGCCTCTCAGGTAACTTCCCCTTTGAGATCCTGTCCTCCTTTCTGCCCCAGGAAACTACTACAGTGGGGGAGGTGGGGCTATTCCTGTCCATTCTTGCCTTCTCTTTATAGATCTAGAAAGATTGACAGTGACCTAATTTCTATGGAATGATTCTGGGTGCTGAGGAAGATGAAGAAATTCAGGCTCAGAGAGAAAGGTCAGTCTAATGTGTACTGAATCCAAATGTAGCGTCCCAAGAAGATTCAAATCACTGGCCATGGGTGAACTCATCAGTTCTTTCTAGAACAAAAATAATCAGTGGAAATCCATGATTTGTAGACTAATAAAATTTGGTTTATTTGTCCTCTTCAGAGATCCCTATGGAGGGCAACACCTTCCTGCAATGCCTGCTAAGTTGACATCTGAGGCCTATGGGCCAGGTGATGAGTATCCTCCAAAGTCCCACCCTATAGACGCAGGTGTCTTCAGAGCTGGGATGCCCAGACTTTCTCAGAATATGCCTATTCTGCAGGAGGATTAGCCTGGCCAGTGCACACCACAGGAGGTGTCAGGAGGCAGAGCAGGTGTGGGCTAAGCTCCCTTTTACCTGCTCACACCCTCCTCAGTTGTGTAGACCTCTCAAAATTGACTGAGAGACTCAAGGCCCCAAGTGACCACCCAAGGTAACAGGGCACCCAGCAGTGCTGCTGGGTTCCGGTTCCTCAGCTGCACAACTTGGTACTTTCCCACTAAGATCTCCCAGTGCTGAATAGTATCCCAGGAGAATTATGGCCAGGAGGTAAGAAAACAGGGAGGACAGGTGCCCCGATGACATGAGCGGCTCCTCCTCCACCCCACTTATCTCCTATGATACATCACCCTTCACACAGAACCCACCTCCACCCACCACACATCCTGGGCTTGGCTTCACAGGGCCTTGGCTGGCCTTGGTAAGCCCCAGGAGAATATGGCGTCCACCAAGAAAGTCGGCATGTAGCTCATGGGTACAAAGAGAAACTTGGCGTCCCAGCCAGCAGAGTAGCGGGTGTGGGGGTGGCAGGCGGTCAGCGCGTGTTCCATGCAGTCCGTCACCAAATGCAGATCCTGCCTGCATAGTTGATCCATCAATTCAATTGATTTCATGTCTGTTCAGAACGAGAAACCATCCATGCCTACTTCCATTTGCAACCAACCCTGCCGTTGGGTCAATTCAGAGTAGAAATTTTCTAAGAACCCATGCTCCCCTACAAAGCCAATGCCCCAAATCTAATTCATCCAAATTCCCTAATAAGAGTCCGACCCTTGCAAGGAACTGCTGTTTCACACTAAGTCATCTTTGCCTCTCTTTCTGGGATGTTAAAACTACACACACGGAAGGTCTCTACCCACACTTGAAATCTCATTGAGACCTCATCTCTACAATAAATTTAAAAAATCAGCCGGGCGTGGTAGCACACGCCTATACTTCTGGCTACTTGAAAGGCTGAAGCGAAAGGATCGCCAGAGCCCAGCAGGTCGAGGCTGTGGTGGCTGGGAGCGGCCACTGCACTCCAGTCTGGGCGACAGAGTGAGACTCCAACTCAAAAAAAAAAAGAAATCTAAGCACATGCATACAAGCTGTCTCTAGTGCCAGCTTCCTGCAAAGCTATGAGGGTCTTCCCTCACTGGCTGCACCTTCCCCCTCAAAACAAGGAGGTGTTAATATAAAGACTGGTCCCAAGTTCTAGAAATCTTGGACCCTTTCTTTAGGTGACAATGAAAATGGGGATAAAAGAATCGATCCCTTTTGTGGGGAGGTTGTGCTTGCCACAGCACCAGGAGAACAGACTTCATGGTGCTGGAGGACTCAGGATAGACCCAGGTCCAAATGAGGGCCTGCTTCTCTCCTCATGTCTACAACTCACTTACAGGATGCCAGAAACTTCTCGCCATAGATCTCCTGGACCTCAGGGCTGGCCCGGTCCCACGACTCCTGAAAGTTCTGTGAAACTCTCTGATTATTGGTCATGTTGGTCCTGAAATAACCGGGTTCAATCACAGCAAACTTCACTCCAAAGAAAAGTGTCTCCCTCCTGCAAGACAGACAGGCAGAGGCAGTAATTCAGAGATCTACAGAGGCAAATATGAGAAACAAAATAAACAAAGCCCAATAAAAACCCGACACAGGATGGTGGCTGGATAAGCTAGAAAGCTTGGTTAGTTGGGATGTGCAGCAAACTAGAGGGTAACATTTATGATGATGTCATTGTTTCTGTGTGAGGTTTCCAGGTATTCCATATTAGAACTCACTAGCGCTATATCCTACACATTCTCCAGCAAGACATTGCTCCAGTGCCACTTCCTCCTGCCACTCACATTCAATGTATCACCAGGACCCGCCCATTTCACCTCTTTTACACTGCTCAGTTCTCTCCCCGTCTTTCTCCTCCTCACCACCTCCCCCCCCCCAGGAAATTTCCCTGCACATGTCTCGGATGGGCAATTGCAACTGTCCTCTGAGGAGTATCCTCTACCCAGTCTTAGCTCCCCACACTCATCACCATGCTGGTCCCCACAGTCAGTAGGTATCTAGATGCCCATGAGACATCTAGATGCCCATCAGACCAAGTGGCTGCCCTGAGTAAATCCCTTCTGCGGGGTTCCACTCTCAATAATATGCAGGGCAGCACCTGTTCAGGGCACACAGGCCCCCCACGAGCCCTCCCTGCCCACCTGCCCAGTTTCCCCCTCTAGACCTGGCCTTGTCCTTTATTCAAGGAAAACCCTGCAGTATAGGTGGTCAGCTCACTATCATTCTGCTCCTGGGCTGTCACTTTTCCCTCTACCAGGAGCCCTTCCCATCTTCCTGTCAGGCTGCCAGGTAGAGTTCTTCACTCCTTAGCTCACAACCCATCTCCAGGACCCTCCCCAACTTTTCTGGCTGCCATGACCACCATGGCTAACTTGGTCACACCCCTCTAAAGGTTGACAAAAAAGATTCAGGATCTCCCTTTCCCTCTCTCACTTATGAGTATTGGGTCAGAGGCAAAACCTTATCGTTGGCCTTGGACATATTTCTTGGGCACTCAGACAAATGTCTACAAGTGTGTGTGGTGTTGAGTCAGACGTTCTACCCACCACCTCATGGGCTCCCTGCAACTTAATGGCATGGTGGCAACGGACACAGGCTCTGTTGGGAAAAGTGGTCCCTGCATTCGGTCTTTTCTCCCTTGCCTGGTCATAGAAGGATGGGCCTAGTGTCTGGAACACTCCTTCCCTGGAAAGGAGGCGCCCACAAGCCTGGGAAGGACTCGTGTCCTTGTGAGAGACTCAGACTCATGGTTGTTCTTGGAAGAGACTCCATGGGCGTGGGGACAAAGGCACACTATCGTGGCCGATCTTGATCTGATGGTGTGGTTTCTATTGGTAAGTTAGATACCAAGCTGCATTGGAATAAGGGTTTGGACTCCTATCAAACAGTAGTACTCAGTACATGATGTTTACCCCTTGGTCTAGTAACATGAGCACCGTGTTCTTCTTAGCAGGTTCTGGAGCCAAATGGTCCACGTCCAATGTTACCTCAGATAATTTCTCTTCCAAAGTAGAGGGATGATTAGCTAAACCTAGGCCTAGATCCTCCTGCCACCCTTCACACAGAAATGCGCTTCCCAATGAATGGCTAGCCACATCCATAAAGAAGAAGAGGAGAGGGCTCACAAATGAAGTCAGAAAGATCTTGAAAAGGGTCTTCAAAAGCTGTGATTAAGTGATCACTCAGAAAAGTCTTCTACAGAAGAGTAGGAGCAGGAGAACTCAGGGCAGACCCTATCCCAGTCCATTACCTGAGGGAGTCTGAGAAGGCCTCTACACCGTACTTTGAGATGTAGTAGCCCCCACCACAAAGTGCAATCCGGCCTCCAACACTGGACACGTTGACCATGCGGCCCCTCGCCTTCCTCACTAAGGGCAACAGGTTCAGGGTCACATCGATCACCCCCAACAGGTTCACATCTATGATGGTCACAAAGTCCTTTTTGGTCAGCCACTCATTAGGGGCTAAGGGCACAGCAATGCCAGCATTATTCACCAGGCCCCAGAGTCCTAGGCAGTGGGAAGATAAGAGAGCAACACTGTGTTGTGCCCATGCAGTGTGGACACATTAGGACACAAGTTCATACCCTAGCAGAGCAAGGGCCTCACGATAGGGGGATGGGGAGTAGGTAGAACAGAGATGACATGGGGTCTGCAGGGCTGGGAGCTGGACATTCTGCAGCGGGTGAAGGACAGAACCTGAGCCTCCCTTCTTGGATTCCCCAGGGCCCAGCCTACTGCCTGGTAGACAACCAGCATTTCACCCCGTATTTGAGAATTGCAGGAGCTCAGGTTGAAGATGTATTATCCACTTATTACTCTGGAAACACAGACAGCAATGCTGGTTATTCATACATTAATGTCCTTGCAGATTTCAGCTGCATTCACCTGCATTTTCAGACTTTTTTTGACACATTATATAGTGAGTGTTCAACAACTACCTGTTAATTCAAAAAGAGAGATAGGAGAGAGGGAGAATGAGGAAGTGAGGAAATAAACAGAAAAGAAAAATAAAAAGACAAGGCTAATGCCTGTGTAGACTTTGGTTGAGTAAGAGATCTGAAATCCTAGGACTGAGAGAACATGAATAGTTTTATTTTTGACCTCAAGGAACTGGATTTGAACCATTTGCAATCAATACTGAGCAACATTTCTGCAGAACACATTGTGAATTGCAATGTACAGGCTCTGAGTCAAGACAAATCCACTTGACTTAACCCTACTACACAGACTCCACCATCTTCACCCAGAAAATGTCACTCTTTCATCCCACTCCACCAGAAGGCACCCTCCAACCTTCCCCTCCTGTCCCAAGTTCACTCAATTCTGGGAAAGTCTCTCTGGAAAATGCAAATGCACTATCCCAAGGCTTAAAGTCAACAAAGTTTCCAACCTCCAGACATAATGGAACAGGGGTAGAGGATTGCTGGGTTAGGGAAGATTGTGGCTGTTGTTAATCTGGAGAACTGACCCAAAGAGACCAATCATTCCCCTGCTCAGACATATGCCCTGCCTTGACAGGAAATCATATTTCTTCACCAAGATTTTTTTTGCTAAAATCCAATCAATATACATCTTTACAGAAATGCAGGTGATTGAAAGTGGAACAAAATGACACATGAAAATAAAAAATAGAATAAAAATCCAAAATCTAAATACTCAGTATGGTTTAAGTAACTACCGCTATATCAAAGGTAGAGTATCTTAAAACATCAAATACCATGTATTATTTTTTATTTTGTTGAAAATAACACTCATCTTTTAAAAAATAGAAAGTGATGTAAACTATGAAAAGTATGGTCCTAATTGCATCAAAATGTGAAAGTATTTATGAGTGCATGGTGATTTAAGGGTGGATTTTTTAAATACCTTCCACTATTTTCTACAATGATCATGTTATACATTTATCTCTAGCAAAAGAAATCTATGTTTTCTTCCCCTATAATAAGACAGAAAAACTAGTGTAGTGAAAAGAAAAAAAAGAAAGAAAGCAACTTCTTAATTCTTGTGCCCTCCTTAACCAATCCTTACACTGGTGCTCTCCTCCAAAAACAGGGCCAGTCTTAGTTTTGGGTGAAGTCTGAAGGCATCGGCAGGAACAAGCTGAAGTCCTGAGACCCTGGGCTTGGCTCCATCTTGCCCTCCCATCACCCTTGCACATTTCCAGCCACTGACTCGTCTCACCCCCTCCAGACGGCCACTCGGTCTCTAACCTGGGCACTAGGCATCAAGCAATCCAGAATGTCTGCTTACGAAGAAGAGGAGAGGATAGAGCAACATTCTGGAGGCCAAATTCTCAGCAGGGCACATTCTCCCCAAACAAGAGTGCTCCGAGTTCAGAAGGGGTGGAAACTGGAAAGAGAAGGGGGTTAGCTGGCCTAGTGGATTAGAAATACTAGACAGTGAATGTCACTTCAACCTGAAAGACACTCTAGGAATCTTCCCAGGGAGCTGACAGGAGGCGTCCCCTTCACATAGAGCAAAGAACAGACACACTTGATGAACCAGGGTGTTACCTCTGTCCCCCACGCGCTTCTTCACCCACTGGGCAGCTGCAGCGACACTCTCTGTCTTGGTGACACCCAGGGTCACCGTCTCCAGCTTGCCTGATGTCTGGTCCCTCAGCTGCTTGGCCCCTTTCTCTGTCAGACACGCAGCCAGCACCCTCAAGCCTCGCGCATCTAGCTGTCTGGCCAGCAGGTTCCCAAAACCTGAGTCACAGCCTGTGATGAACACATATTTGTCTGGGAGGTGGCTCACCACCTGCCTCTCCCGGTACCAGCGCACAAGGTAGAAGAGGCCCAGGAGGGCCACCAGGTAGAACCACATGGCTTTGCAAAGGACAGACACACACAACCCAGTGTGAAATGAGAGTCTGACCCCTGTTCAGAGAGGGGGACTTAAGTACACAGAGGGCTGCAGTGGCAGCTAAGCCTCCAAGTTCTGTGGTGTGGAGTCCTCACCTCCTTCCTGATCACTGTCTTTCTGCAACAATTTTTATCCTGGCCCCTCCTTTCTCCTCTTTGAACTGATTATGCAAGTATGCATAATGCTTGAAAATCCCACATCCCGCCCAGTAGAACATATCACCACTCAGCAAAATTCTCCATGCCCCCGGTTTCTCTCTGTCTTGCTGTGCACAAACAGGTGTCCAGGCAGGTGTACACACAGGTGTCTCCCCCCACACACACACACAATAGCACACACCACTGTGATCTAAGTACGAGGGTCGATATCTCCTATACCAGCACTCCTGGAGGATGGTCTTCCTGAACAGAGAAAGATCTTACTGGGAAGCTACCCTGTGTTTGGAGACACATTAGATTGAAATTCCTGTCTTGCTCTGTGTTTCCTCATCTGGCTCAGCACCCAGAATCACTCCACAAAAGAGCAGGTCTCTGTCAAGCCCTCTAGGATTAGAAAAAACAGCCAAAAAAGTAGACAAGTTATGTTTCCTCCTGCTATTGTAGTTTTCTGCCAGAAAGGAGGACAGGCTTCAAAGGGAAAGTCTGAACCCAGAGACAAAGATAGAAGAAAGAAGGGAATGGGGGCTGGGAACCCACAGGAAGGAAAATTCCAGAGAAGGGAATAAAAAGATTCACAGAAAGCACATGAAACAGTGTTCACCCTCATACCCCCTGAATATGCCCTTTCCCCAGTTCTGGGTCCTGGGTCCACTGCCCTCTGCCCTTCCCTGCCTTGGTCACACATCCATTGCCCTCTGCCCTTCCCCGCCCTCTGCCCTTCCCTGGGTCCATTGATCTCTGCCCTTCCCTGCCCTGGGTCCACTGCCCTCTGCCCTTCCCTGCCTGGTCACACATCCAGAACCTTCTCAGTGACCAGTCTCCTTCAGCCAAGAATCCACAAGGACCATGTGCAGAGATATTTCCCAATCCCCACACCTACTGCTTCTCTCCTGTTTTCCTGAGAGTAATGGGACCCTTTCCTAGGGAGGCAGGTGTTTCCCAGTCTACTCCAGAGTCTGGTGCAGTCAATCTCAGAAAGTACCAGAGAGGGCAGCCAGAGGGAGGAGGAGTCAGGTGACACCCCCTCACCTAGACCCACAGGCAGAACATGAACTTCTTCAGGACTCCTGCTGGGAGACTCCATACCTCCCTTCCAGTCTTTGACTACCAAAATGTGGGACTGAGACACAAGTCTCCATCATCAAAGTTTATTATTTCACTTTCAGGGTATTATTGAACCAAACTTGGTCCTCTCTCCCAGGACAGGAAACTCAAACACTGACATTGGGATAGCAGTGAAAGGAGGTGAGACACGTGGTGCCCCTAGGGTGCCAAGCAAGGAGAACGGATCACTCGGGGTTAAGACCAAAGCTCCCTGATGGCTCACAGTAAGCAACCTGAATGGACTTAGAGTCTATAATTCTGAGCGATCTATCACAGAAATAAAGAACTGAGTATCACATGTTCTCACTCATAAGCAGACCTTGAACAATTACCATAATACTATAAGAAAAAGATTGACAGTAGCAGGAAACTGCTGGTGGGGGGTTGGTGATGCAGGATTGGCAGTAGCGGGACTCTACTGGGGCAGGGGTCGTGGTGGTACACCTCATCAGCAAGGGTACCTGCATAATAAACATTTATATACTTAACCCTGAATTGCACCCCACATCTTTAAAATAAAAAAATTAAAAGTGAAATCATTCACAGAAAGAAGGGGAGGAAAGAGTTTTAAAGGCGGGAAAGAGAGGCTGTAGGAAAAGCCTTACATCAAGCCATGCAGAATATGCCCTGCTTTACCTAAGAAGGCAGGGCATCTCCAAGTAGGGCCCATAGGATATAGGTGGATTCAAAATGTTCTCGTTTTCTTTCTTCTTTTTTTTTTTTGAAATGGAGTCTCACTCTGTTGCCCAGACTGGAGTGCAGTGGCCGCTCCCAGCCACTGCAGCCTCCACCCACTGGGGTCAGGCGATCCTTCCACCTCAGCCTTCCGAGTAGCCGGAATTACAGGCGCGTGCTACCATTCCCCGCTGATTTTTTTATTTATTGTAGAGATGAGGTCTCGCCAAGTTGCCCAGGCGGGTCTCGAACCCGCAGGCTCAGACAATCCACTCACCTCAGTCTCCCAAAGCGCAGGATTACAGGCTGAGCCACCGAGCCCGGCTTGTTCTCATTTTCAATTGCTAAAGAGGCAAAGCTTTGTCTAAACACTCAGGATGTTAGCTCTGGTTCATGGGCGTGATCTCTTTCAGGTTCTATAGGAAGAAATTTAGAACAAAGAAAAGTGGTATTAGTTCAACCCTCCATACCCCTTGTATGAGTCCCATGTGCCAGAGGACCCCTTTGGTGAGGGTTGGGGTTTCTGAAAAACAACCCAGGGACATATGTTAGGAAGTTAACTTTGGTGTTTACTGGGAACCCAGTGTTGTGGTGACTCTAACTTGCTTGGCTGTTCTCTTAAATTACTATTTCTTTCTTCCTCCTCAAGTTGCTCATTTACAACTCAGGGCTGGCTAGGTGACTGGAATTTTCTCAGAAGGAACTCAAGATTGATTTAGTGCTTGCAGGGGTGGAGGAAGTGAGAAAAGGGAACAGATTCCTAATAGAAGTCTCTGCCGTTCAAGGGTCTGTCTGGGAAAAACAGGAGCCGTAGACACAGCTATGGCTGCTGCCCAAAGAGGTTTTAGGAATTTAGCATTTATACACTTCTTGCAAATGAGGGAAGAGGGTCGGGTAGGCGGTACATTTAACGGTTCCATTTCTGTAAGACTTTAAGTAGTGCCCTCTAAATCTACATTTTTCATAGGCTAAGGTGAATGTTTGAAGACAACAAAGGAGGAAGGGAAGAGTGAATCATGCTGACAGCTCTGGGTAGGTAGAAGAACAAGTCCTGACTTTCTTCTGCATGGTTGGAACAATGAGTTTTAGAATGTAGACTGGGGGTGCAGACCGAAAGTTGTAATTGACGTCCTTTTTGGAAAACCAGCAAAGGACTGACTGATGAATGATCTGTGAGCAGCCCCGTGTAAGCACCTGGGGGCCTTTCCCTTTCCCTGGGGATCTGATTATTGCACCATGTAGAAAACAACTATTCATTTGTAAGAGAATGTTGCACAACTCACACGTTGGTCTTAAATTTGGGAGTCATGAGATTTTTCAATTTTCCTTTACACTTTACACTTTCTGCACTCCATGTCCCACCAGTGATAAAACCATTCACTCCCAGGAATAAATAACTTGGCCAAGCTTCAGGGCTACACTTCTGAGCTCCTGGTTGCTCCAGCAGATGTGCACACCCTGGTGTCGCCCTTCCTGCTCTCCTCAGGGATGCCTGCTGGGATCAGCTCGGCCACCAGGTAAACATGCTCCCAAGTGTCATAGTGACCCTACTCACGACTATTTCTCCATCCAGTGTGGATCTTCTGAAGATGGACAGAAGTAGGAGAGAAAAGGCAAAGCTGAACTGTAAAAGCAGAAGTGGGGTTCATCACACAACCTGTTTCCAGTCCCACAGGTGAGCAGCCTCTACTAAGACTGGGGTGGTGGCTCCAGAAAGGAAGAGCAATCTGTACCCTGCATGTGCTACAGATCAGGTTTTGAAGGGGACAACTCCTAAGTTGGAACACAATTACCCTGTGCTCCCCAGGAGGACCAGGACTGCTGAGAGAAGGAGTGAAGGAAGCTTCTGTGGCTCCCAAGGGCTCTGTGGGATAGGGCTCCAGACTCTGTGCAAGCACATCAGTCTGGACCAGGCTCCCTCCCTGAGGAAAGAAGTTAGGAAGAAGGAGAATGATGTACTTTGTAAAAGGCCTGGGGGAGGGCAATGGACTGGTTTACAATGGATTTTTTTATGGCCACCTTTTTTTTGTGGCAGCAAAACTGAACCCCTTGATTCTTAGGCCATGATGAGGTGGGAATGTCCAATTTCCGTGCAGCTCCAAGCCCAGTGGAGGTCAGCATGGAAAGTCAGGGGTTTGCACCCCCACAGCTGTCTCACACTCATGAGAGGATTCCTGGGAATTGAGTCAAACCTCCAAAACACCTACCACAGTGGGATATACATTGAAATAGCAAACTTTGCCTGATAGCCTGGCTCATGTTTATAATCCCAGCACATTTTGAGGCTAAAGTGAGATGATTTCTTGAGGCCAAGAGTTCTAGACCAGCCTAGGAAACATAGTAAGACCTCATCTCTACAAAAAATTAAAAAATTAGCAGGGCAAAGTGATACATACCTGATGCCTCAGCTACTTTGGAGGCTGAAGCAGGAGGATCACTTGATCCCAGGAGTTGGAGACTGTGGTAAGTGATAATTGTACCACTGCACTACAGTCTTCAAGTAAACAAAGATAGAGAAAATATATAAATTTTTGGAAACATGAAACCCTCAAAATTGAATCAGGAAGAAATAGTAACCCTGAACATACCAATAACAAGTAATGAGATTGAAGCAGTATTAAAAGTTCCCTAAAAAAAAAAAAAAAAGAAAGAAAGAAAGTTCAGGCCCTGACAGACTCACAGCCAATTTCTACCAGATTTTCAAAAAAGAATTGGTACCAATTTTACTGACTTTATTCCATAAGATTGAAGAGGAGGGCATTCTCCCTAACTCATTCCATGAAGCTACTATCAACCTTATACCAAAGTAAGGAAATGACATAATAAGAAAAGAAAAACTACAAATCAATATCACTGATGAACATAAATGCAACAGTCCTTAACAAAATAATAGCAAACTGAATTCAACAATACATTTTTTAAAATCCATCAAGATCAAGTGGGTTTTATTCCAGGAATGCAAGGATGGTTCAACATAAGCAAGTCCACCACATGAACAAAATTGAAAACAAAAATAATGCCGGG